ATAAATAGGGGACTTAAGAGGCACCTAGAACGCCCCCACCACAATAAACGTCCCACCACCCCATAGAGCTCCAAGAATTCCCTTAGAAGAAATCAAGAAAGCAAGAAAGCTTAAAGAAAGATCCTTCATAGCCAAGGAATTAATTAAGGCTAAGAGGTAACCCATGTCTCAACAAAACCTATTTTCTTAGTTATGATTCCCCTCTTAGGATTTCCCCATATTATTGTGTATTGATGATTTGTGATATTATTATTGATGATTGGTGGGATGATTCCATGGGTGATCTTGATGATGAAAGGTTCTTGATAATTATAGTGTTCTTGATGATTATATGACGTTCTTGATGATTATATGACGTTCGTGATGATTATATGATGTTCTTGATGATTGTAGGATGTTCTTGATGTTTATGTGATATTCTTACCGAATCTTGATATTAGAAGATGAATTGTGTCCTTGTTGATTTAAAAATGATTAGAACCCTAGGTTGTATCGTATGGAATTATTCTTGGTATATTGGGTGGGAATTCGCATGATTGGGTGTTTATTATGTTTAGAAAAGCATGATAGGTTATGTGCCGTTTGTTTCTTGATTTTGATCCGTTAATTGCCCACGTGTGTTATCAATTGCGTTTGAAAGTGTCTAAGCATGGTTTCGGGTTCCACAAAGGTTCCCGGGGCGTTTTTGGTGAAAAGAGTCAGTGGGGGGTAGGTGGGGGTAGGGGACCCGCCACCTACCCGCGACCAAAAAGGGGAGCTCCGGCAGCGGGCAGCCGGCGGGCGGGCAGCTGCCCGCCCGGCACCCGCTGCCCGGAACAGTAAATACCAGCGGGCAGCCGGCGGGTGACCCCCCACCCACCGGCTACCCGCTAGAAATTCCCACACCTCGAGACCCCGGCTTCCCCGTTTGATGTTCCCCCGACCCCCGTGGTGTCCCAACGGACTCCGTCTATCATGCCTATGTCTAGTTTGATTTTCGGGTACCGTTCGTAGGTCGTATGAGTATTATATATTTCATGCTAGTTGAATTGGTATCCCGTTGACCTAGGTGAAAGAAGTATGAACCCCTTAGGACTATTCTTAGTATGTGAAGGATCACGCATAGGTTTTGTTATACGTTTTCTCCCCCTTCCCAATGTGTTAATGTGGGTTGCATGTGCTTGCTATGTGTTATGTGTGCATGTTACCCCGATTTGGTTGAGATCAATCGGGCTATACGGGCAGTCGGGTGGGCTGAGAACCATACCGGCTGTTAACCAGGCTGGTAGAGACTAGTCAGGTATATAAATATTATATAGGACTAAGGTCCACTATACGGGCAGTTGAATGGGTTGAGAACCATCCCAACTATTAACCAGGCTGGTAGAGACCGGTCAGGTATATAAATATTATATAGGACAAAGGTCCACTATACGGGCAGTTGAATGGGTTGAGAACCATCCCAACTGTTAACCAGGCTGGTAAAGACCGGTCAGGTATATAAATATTATATAGAGCTGCGGCTCATCGGTCGGTTGCGATCGACCCCTCCGTAGTGTGAGACGGGGCAGGGTGCTGCGGGGCCGTGTCAGAGCTATATGCGCTGACCCTCATGTATGGGCATGCGATTGGTCCTGTGGCGCCAACAAAGTGTGCTATATGATGAGATAAGAAAGGTTGATGTTGTGGCTGTTATAGGGCTCTTGCTAGTAATGCTTAGTTATGATTATTAATTGTGCTTATCTTATCTGTCTTGCCTGTTGTAAACTGTATATGCTTGGTATAACTGCTGTGTGTGCTTAGCTCTATCTATTGAGTCTATCCCTGTTTCAAAAGCTAGAGTTCGTAGGAGATATCTTCATGTTCAAAATGACTTTTCGTATATATATATATATATATATATATATATATATATATATATATATATATATATATATATATATATATATATATATATATATATATATATATATCTATATGTATTGTATTTCAACGCGTTGGAGTGGGTTACCAGTATCTCTCGCTGAACAGATATATTTGGCTTTCAGGCACAGAAGAGTAGGTCACTGGAGCGCGCTAGAACTTGGAACGTAGAAGTAGATAGTTTCCCTTTCGGCCTGCGTGCCATGTTTATGCGTTTACATTATTGAGGATATTAGTTAGTTAGGCTGTGCACCTGAGTTCTCTAGCTCAGGTGTGGCATAGCACCCCGTACTCTTGTATTATGTCTTGGGATTTAATGAGATTTCACCTTTATTTTATAAGTTTTAAATATCTTGAAAATCTGGGGTGTTACACTTACAATACTAACACAAGGTGAAAAGTCAAAAATACCCTTACTAACATGAAGAGGTGTAAGGGAACAAGGGAACTCCCTACAAAGCTCAAGGTACAACTTTGACTTTGGGGTTGACTAGTCAATTAATAGTCCCTGACTATTGAATTTTCAGGAATTTAAGGAATTAAATTACAAATTGAAATAGAATTAATTATTTAATTAATCCCTTAATCGAATTTGGATTACGGGGTGTCACAGATCATCCTCCACAACAAGATATTCATAACTCCAACAAACAATCATCACAATATAGCAATCAATTCAAGCCAATCATCACAATAGCAATGTTCACAACAATCCTAATCTCAAGAATTTAGCCACTCATGCTCAAAATCAACAATCTAAGCATATGCAAGGTAAACATCATCAAAATAAAGCAATAAGAGAATAGGTTAAGAGTTTACCTAAAATTGCATCCTAGATTGTCAATCCAACGGATTAGAGATGAAGATCTTGCAAGATGATGCTTGGATCTTCTCTTCTCTTTACAAAATTGATAGAGTTTTTGGCTAAAATCTAGTGAGAGAAAATGTAGAAACTACTGTAGATCTAAGAACTAAGAAAACTTCTCTCTAAAATTGTGTCTCTCTCTAAAAATCTCTCTCAAAATCCTACTACTCCTCCTACCAAATGAGGCAAAATTTGCCTTAAATCTGCCTGAGCTCCATTTGGCCTCCCATTTACGCGGCTTACCACTGCGTGACACGGGCGTAAATGGGAAATAAAGCCCTTACGCGCACGCTTCTCTTCCTAGTTGCTGATTTACGCAATCCCTTTACGCCGTAAGCACGACGTAAATGGGGAATAAATCCCTTTCCGTGCGCGCTTTGCTTCAGCCTTTTTACGCAGCTACTTACGCTGTGAGGCTGGCGTAAATGGAAAATAATTCTCCTTTTCCGCCTCACGTACGTGGATATGGCGTGATTGGTGCCTTGGATGTGCATTTCCTTTGGCTTTGACGTTTTTATCCTCTTTTGCCACTTTTCTTGCCCAAAAAACACCTAAAAGCATGAAAAGTACATTTGGGAAGGTGTCTCCGTGCTAAATCGCGTTTATAAGATAAATTAATATAAAGCTCATGACTTTAAGGCTAAAACATGCGAAAGCACCCTCAAAGTGCTCCCCGAAACTAGCACCTTTTGACTCTTATCACTGATACTGAAAGGCTTGCATTGTCTTCTAATTGGTGACAGTTGCCTAGTGTGGTGGCACTGGTGGAAAGGTGGGCATGGATGGTGGTGGTGGATCCATGTCAATCCCTTCGGGTAGGGGAGGAATCTCCAATGTTAGGACATCTTCCTTGCTCAAATATCTCATCACACACTCATGCAAATGAATCTCTCGGTACAACAAGGCATTGAATCCGAGCCCACAGCATAACCAGTTAACTAGTGGCCCGACATAAATTGTTTGTACATTGTCCTTGCACTGTGTCTCGAGCCACTTCTTGCAAAACATCCCCATATTAATGGGGTTCCTGGTATCCCTGCTCCATAAAGCCAAGAGATCTGTGCAGTAGACCTTGTTATAGTCCGTCCTCCGTCCGCCCCAAGAAAATGCTAGCATGCATCTCACCACCTTCAAATCATTCCTAGAAATCGGCTGCCCGTGTACTCTCGATCCTTGCCATTGAATTCCCGGTCGTGAGATCTATGCCCAGTAGTCATTCGAGATTCGCTCATTCTCAAAATCAATTGGCAAGTTCCTATACCAGTCGTCCTCCTGCTCCTCCGGGGTGTAAAGACCCAATGACGGCCCTAGGTCATTGACCAAAATGTGATAGTATGTGTTGAACACTCCGAACTTTATTGTAGGACCCGTGAGATCCTTCGGTCTCCCTGTAATCTCCAAACTAACCACGAACTCATACACCACTGGCCTATATGTGTCGTCTCTCCACTCAACAATTCGACTCCAGTAGGTTTGGTTCATGAGCCTTTCCACCTCCTCCCCGCATCCAAACGAATCCAAGAGAGGTGGGTGAATGAAGTTCCAAGTGATCACCGACTTTGCTTTGAAGTGCTCAAGCCTTACTAGTATTTCACCTTGAAAATCCACATGCCTCGGAATCACTTCTTCTTGGGCCATGTTCGTCTCCTCATTGCCACTTCTACCACATATCTCTTCCTCTTGCCTACTTGATTCTCTTTCTTCCCTTCTTCTCTTAGATGTGGTGTTCCTTGTCCTCCTCATTCTCTATTCAACAAAAATTTTCAAGCATAATACAATATTCACATTCAAGGATCCACACAAAAATTAGTCAAGAGAATCAAGCATTTGCATTTTATCATCAAGTATGAAGAGAGCATAAAGTATTGACATTTCAATTCAAGAACATTTTAATCACACCCCTTCAACGAAAAAAACAAGTAGCCACATTTTTTCAATCAATTCTACCAAATGGACACTACCAAAAGCTCAACAAATTACATTCAACTTTACAACAACATTTTTCTTTCTTTCCAAATTCAATTACAAAATAATATATAGGACAGACAATTAAATTTCAAAATGACATGAACATGGAGATATTCATACCATGGACCCCAAATCCACAGAATAATTTGCCAGTTCTCCCTGGATGCCTGTTATCACATGAGTGCGGGCAAAGGTGGGTCGCGTACTCACGTGTTACCATGAATAGTCTATTTTAATTATTTCTCATCAGTGGCCAGGCCAGCTCTTTATTATTAAGGCCGACAAGCTAGCTGCGCTGTTCAAAACATCCATGTCTAACATTATTTCTGCTCCATTGTTCTTGTGCTTCTTAACTTTTGCACTTGCTGGGTTGGTCGTCAGTGTGCACGATGCTGAGTTCTACCTCATCAACAAACCAAATTTCTCCGTCAAGCTAACCAACTATGGCGCAAGAGTTGTATCAGTCATCCTTCCTGACAAGAATGGTACGTAGTATATGTATATCAACCCCAATACAATCATCCATCTTTTTCTACTTCATTTCATCCATGGAGTCCGATCTACAGATCATTCTTACCATTTTATCTGTAAATTTTAATAATTTTTAGGGAAGCTGACAGATGTTGTTCTTGGGTACGACACGACCGAGGAGTACGAGGTAAGTTTCAATGATGGCCGGTTTTGGAGTTCAACATTTCGTGTCTATGTTCCTTAGTTTTACCGTATTCATAACTCAGTCGCCATTGATTTTACGAGCTGAGCTAGCATATCAAATCTAGATCTGATCCAACTATTATTTTATTCAACTTTTAAAAATTAAAAATTTATAAAGTAAATATATTTGTTTATAATTGTATACGTTGGGAATTTGTTCACGTGCTTGAATATGGTGCAGAATGATGAGTCAAATTTTGGGGCCATTGTGGGAAGGGTGGCCAACAGGATCGGTGGGGCTCAGTTCACTCTCAATGGAACCCTCTACAAGCTTATTGCTAACGATGGAAACAACACACTTCATGGTAAAATATATATATATATAGCTCCTAGCTACCCTTCTTTAATTTGACCATTAATACACTCATACATAAATACATATTCATGAATTAACATATCTTGTTAAGGTTGATGTGTTTAGTGTGTTAAGTGTGTGAATATTTGGGAGTACTTGTATTTGTATGTTCAACACACTTGTCTGTTTTGAGTAACTCCTAAATTATGGGTATTTTTATATAATGGTATTGTTTGGTAAATGGCTGTTAGCTGTTATTAGCTTATTAGATTAATTAGAGGATATAACTAGTTAATAACATTAACTTATTGTAGAAATGTGTTTCGTAAATTATTTGTTAGCTGATAGCTATTTGGTATAATTTACTTTCTCAAAAAGCTAATTGAAAAAGTTGCTTTGAGTAGTTTTTTGAATTTTAGTATTTTTTGAGTTACAAAAAAGCTAATTAATCAAACACTTATATTGATCTTTTAACCAAATCAAAAAACTAATAGTGATCAAATAAGCCAAAATTAGCCTATAAGACTAACTATTTTACCAAACAGAGCCAATGACTTGTGACATCTCTTTTTCATTACAAGAAAAAAAAAATTATCTACAGCAAGATTCATTGATAAATCATCAAAATTTAAAATTATTTAATTTACTAACGAATTTCTTTAGCTAATTTTTGAAACCAATTTCTTTAGCTAATTAAAACATTAAAATTTGTAATTTGTAGTTATTTAATTCGTAACTAAATCCGTTGGTATTTCTTGTTTTCTTGTAGTGTTTGTAACAACGTGTATCCACATTTTTATGGTCAATTTGTACTAGTGAGTAGTGAGGGTGATTTGTTATATATAAAATGACTCAATAATGTAGTCACCAAATTTTGCCTTCATCAGACCTCTCAATTATTAGATTAACCATTTGTCTTCTTGCACAGATTGTCTTTTAGGTAAGATGACTGAATTCCATCTAGCTGTAAAAATGTTATTAAGTTATGGAGTTAATTTCAATTTTTTTCTTATATTTATAGATGACAATCCACTTTTAATTCTTTTTTTATCAAAACATCTACATTTAATTGGTCCTAGTATTATTTTGACATGACTATTTTTTATTCTCTATCAACAAAACAGTTTTAATGTCGTTAAATACAAAGACATTTCGGTGCTCAATTATGAATTTCTTTTAAAAAAATAAACATAAAAATATAGTGGGGTCAACTCACTTTGTATAAAAATGATCAAAATACCTTTGCACTTTGTATTTAACGAACCGACCTATACATGCCCTGGCTAAGGCGGTTTGCTCTCGGCCTCTGAAGCTAGTCCTGTGTTCTGGGAGGCCACGCACCCGTATAATATCCTCGATTTGATTTAATATATTTTGTTGTGTTGGCTTAAAAAAAAAAAAAAAAGCTCTTATCTACCATCTTTGACCATTAATACACACATGCATGCATAAATACATATTCGTGGAAATAACATACCTTGCCAAGGTTGATGTGTTTTGTGTGTGTGTGTGAATATTTGGGAGTACATGTATGTTTGATAAACTTGTCAAATTTATTTTATTTTTTTTGTAATAACAGATGTCTAAAGTCTCAGTTTTTTTTTTTTTAATGATGACTTTACGTGTCTATTTTTCACCACCCAAAAAAAAAAAAAAATGACAGCAAAATTTGTTGATAAATCACCAAAATTCGTAAGTATTTAATTTTTCAATGAATTTCTATAACTAAGATATTAAAATCTAATGGTATTTAATTCGTAGCTAACTCTGTTAGTATTTTTTTTTTCTTGTAACGTTTGCAAGGTTGCAAAAATCGCTAGGCCCTAGCGCTGATTTTTTTTTCTTTTAAAAATTTTAATTTTTTTAAAAAAATTAGTAAAATCCCGCCTAGGTTGCCTAGACGCCCGCCTAGGCCGTTTAGACGGCCGCCTAGACCTATTCAGCGCCTAGAGCGCCTAGGCGGCTGATCGCCTAGAACGGCGATTCCGCCGAATTTCTAGGCGGTTGGCCGCCGCTGCCTAACGCCTAGGCGCGATTTTTGCAACATTGAACGTTTGTAACAACAACATGCAATGACACATTTTTTGTGGGTTGGTCAATTCTGTATTAGTGAGGATAATTTGTTAAAGATAAAGACCCTATTTGGTAAAATAGTTAGTCTATAGGTCAATTTTAATTTATTTGACTACTATTAGCTATTTGACTTGGTTAAAAAATCAATATATGTGTTTGGTTAATTGGTTTTTTTTTTTTTTTTTTTTTTTTTTTTTTTTTTTTTTTTTTTTCTTTTTTGTAATTCCAAAATGCTAAAATTGAAAAAGCTACTCAAAACAACTTTTTCAATTAGTTTTTTGAGAAAAGAAATTATACCAAACAGCGATCAGCTAACAGCTAATTTACCAAATATCTTTCTACAATCAGCTAATGTTATCACCTAGTTATACCCTATAATTAACCTAATAAGTTAACAGCTAACAACCATTTACCAACAAGGACCAAAATGAGTCAGTAATTGTAGTATTGAATCCTTGATATGATGGAATGCATGGTTGTATCAAAAGTTGGAGTCAATAATTACATTAGCACTAGTGTGGCTCTTTTTGAGAAAATGTCACATGATCGGAGTATTAACTTTTTGGACTACAACTAACAGAGAAAAAAATATATTGAACATATATTACACTGTAATAGAATCAGATCAAAAGTATTAAAAAAAAAAAATTAACCATTATATTTATCATTTTACATAGACGATGGTCTTTTAGGTTAGATGAATACTCGACTCCATCTAATTGTAAAAATATTATTAAGTTTTAAAGTTTAAACATATAGACGGTGACAAATTCTAGTTGTAGGTAGTAGTTCCCTCAACACATATACAAAGTATATTATAAACAGAAAAGAAAAGTATATTACATACACGCATGTGTTTCAATGAGCTGAGGACTTTTAGAAATTTACTAATAATAATTTAAAATTAACAGTGTTTTATTTTTTTCAATAGATTTTGAAGGAGTAATACTAAAAACCTCTAATATTTTTCGACTCCAATTCATCTCTCATGACCTGGCAAATTTTTTAAAAATTTAAATTCAATTTTTAATAAGTGATGTGCCGGGTCAACCAATTCAGGCAAATTATGTTGTGCAACCGTGTGCACCATGGTGCACACTGTTCTATGTTCATAATTACTTAATTATATGTTCATAATTATAAAGCTATATATTTATAATTTTTGAACTTCATATTCATAATTATTGAACTCTATATTTACAATCACAGAACTCTATGTGCATAATTTTCGATGTTCATATTCCCAATTGTCGAACTCTGTATTCACAAATCACTGAACTATATGTTCATAATTTGATAATTATACAGTTTAAAAATTATGAATCTACTGTATAGAAATTATGAATCTATAGTAAAGAAATTATGAATTGAAACCGCGTGCACCTTACACACATCATGATGTTTCACCAATTCATGCCACCCAATGAATGGATATCAGGAGAAAAAATATTGGAGGTGAAATTTATGTTAGGAGGGGAAGAAAGCATTCATGGTATTCTATATATACATGTGATGTAGGTGGCCCCAAAGGAATTAGCAAGGTTTATTGGAAGGTTAAGAAGCACGAGGAAAGTTGCATCACTTTCACTTACCACAGCCCCGATGGTGACCAAGGTGAGCATACATACATACATATATTTTATTTACTGATTTATATATCAAAACTCAAAAGTTTAATTTTTTTTTTTTTAACTAATTATTTACTGTTCAAAGAAAAAACATAATCTGGGCCTTTATAATGTAGGATTTCCCGGAGATGTAATCGCCGATATAACATATACTATAAAGGAAAACCCATACAAACTGATAGTGAAAATGAATGCAAAGGCTGTGAACAAGCCCACTCCGGTGAACCTGGCACACCACAGCTACTGGAACCTGGGAGGTCACGACAGTGGGGATATATTGTCGGAAAAGCTTCACATATTTGCCTCCCAAATCACCCCTGTCGACTCCGACCTGATTCCCACCGGCGAAATCGTGCCCATCAACAACACGGCCTACGATTTTCTTGAACCGCGCGGAGTCGGAGCCCAAATGGCTAAACTTCCGGAGGGGTCCGGCGGGTTCGACATCAACTACGCCCTCGACGGGGAAGTTGGGAAGAGGAAGACGGTGGCGGAGGTGTACGATGAGAGGAGCGGGATTGGGATGGAGATGAAGGCGAGTGGGGCGGCGGGGGTGCAGTTCTATACGGCGAATCACTTGGAGGGTGTGAAGGGGAAAGGCGGAGCGGTGTATGAGTCGCATGGTGCGTTGTGTTTGGAGACTCAGGGGTTCCCAGATGCTGTGAATCACCCCAACTTTCCGTCCACCATTGTTACTCCGGAACGCCCCTACCACCATACAATGCACATTACTCTCAGAGTCCATAACCCCAGAAGTTTAAGGGCGCTTGAATCATTTGACTCTCTACCTGTTTGATCCGGCCAAGAGCGTCTATGTTTTTTTTTTTTTTTTTTTTTTTCTTTCAATTCATTCCCACCACTTGTTTCGCCTGATATTAATAAAATAAATAAACTCAATCTAATTATATTTAAACCTTTAAAATTATGTTTGTTTCTTGGGACAATAACTTATTGGATCAGAGCTTAATTTATGTTATCATAGTTGTTTGAACCTTAAATTATATATACGTGTAAGCTCAAGTGTTCGTTTTATGGTCAATTCGTTAGGGGTTAACGACTAATATAACATAAACCCATTGTTGGTTTTGAACATCCGAATTCGTCTATCGGTGGGCCAACACTACCAAAAATACTAGGCAAAGTTACCGGAAACAAGGATATAGCTCTCAAACTCACGCGTGTATTTAGAATGCTCAATCCCCTCTACAGTGCCTTCTCAGGCTTTTTATACACACTAGGGTGACCGTTACACTCAGTCACTCATTAATGTAATAAATTAAGTAATTAGTGTTTTAAATGCCATAAATGCCACTAATCATGAGATATAACTCCGGCTCCCCATCTCCTTTATGATGGTTCATCTCTCTTAACGGCCGATCTCATCATTGTCAATATCTCGCTGCCTTAATTAATTGTGCCATTATTACCCTCTCGCCGAGTACTTCTGTAACACCCCGAAAATTTTAAACTTTTGAAGCTTATATAATAAAGGTAAATGCTCATAAATCCAAAAACATACATAAGAGTACGGGGTGCTATGCCACACCTGAGCTAGAGAACTCAGGTGCACAGGCTTACTTCTAGAATCCTCAAATAGTATCAATACATAAACATGGCACGCAGGCCGAAATGGAAACTATCTACTCTATGCTCCGAATCTCTAGCGCGCTCCAGTGTCTAATCATCTGTGCCTGAAAGCCAAATATATCTGTTCAACGAGAGATGCTGGTAACCCACTCCAACGCGTTGAAATACAGTACATATAGATATATACATAGATATAAGAAAAACCATTTCGAAGCATGAAGATATATCCTAAGAGACTCTAGCTTTTAAAACAAGGAATAGACTCGACAGATAGGGATAAACACAGTCAACAGTCATAACCAAGCATATACAATTCACTAGCATGTATCCTATGGTCACGCTTTCACATCATAACATTCATAACATCAAACCATCCATATCTCCTCACATAGCACACTTTGATGGCGCCACAGGACCAATCGCATGCCCATACATGAGGGTCAGCGCATATAGCTCTGACACGGCCCCGTAGCACCCTACCTCGTATCGCAACACGAAGGGGTCGATCGCAACTGACCGATGAACCGCAGCTCATCATAATGTTTGATCGCAACCAAACAATGGACCGCAGCCCAAGAGTAGTCATCTGACCGCAGCCAGGAATATGAACCTCAGCTCATGTAAAACGTTTGATCGTAACCAAACGGTGGACCGCAGCCCGGGAGTGTAAATCTGACCGCAGCCAGCTTCTGAACCGCAGCTCAGGAATAACCAATTTGATCGCAACCAAATTGGGGTATCATGCACACGTAACACATAACAAGTACATGCAACCCACATTGACACATTGGGAAGGGGGAGAAATCGTATAATGAAACCTATGCGTGATCATTCACATACTAGGAATAATCTTAAGGGGTTCATACTTCTTTCACCTAGGTCCACGGGATACCAATTCAACTAGCATGCAATATATAAGACTCGTTTATCCTACGAACGGTACCTGAAACATCAAACCAGACATAGGCACGATAGACGGAGTCCGTTGGGACACCACGGGGGTCGGGGGAACATCAAACGGGGAAGCCGGGATCCCGAAGTGGGGGAGTTTCCAGCGGGTAGCCGGTGGGTGAAGGGTCACCCGCCGGCGACAAGTTCTCCGGGCAGCGGGTGCCCGACTGCCCGCCGGCTGCACGCTGCCGGCGACGTCGATTCTGGCCGCGGGTAGGTGGCGGGTCCCCTACCCCCCACTGACTCTCTTTCACAATAAACGCTCCGGGATCCATTGTGGAACCCGAAACCATGCTCAGACACTTTTAAACGCAATCGATGACACCACGTAGACAATTAACGGATCAAAAGCGAGAAACGTAAGGCACGTACTCTATCATGCTTCCTAAATACAATTAACGCCCAAACATGCGAATCCCCACCCAACATATCAAGAATAACCCCACACGAGTTTCACGATACATCCTAGGGCTCTAATCATATTTAAATCATCAAGAACGTAATTCAACCTTTAACATCAAGAACCAATACAATTCGTCAAGAATATCACATAATCATCAAGAATCCGAATTCCTCAAGAATGTCACACAATCATCAAGAAACCCTTATCATCATCAAGATTATCAAGATAAAACCATATCACCCATTATCAAGATCACATAATCAACAATTCATCAAGACACAAGAATATAGGGGGATGCCTAAGATGGAGATCATAGCTAAGAAAATAGGTTTTGTTGAGACATGAGTTACCTCTTAGCCTTAATTAATTTCCTTGGCTATGAAGGGTCTTTCTCTAAGTCTTTCTTCTTTCTTGATCCCTCCTAGGGGAATTCTTGGAACTCCTTGTGTGGTGAGAGATTATTGTGGTGGGGGTTCTAGGTGCCTCCTATGTCCCCTATTTATATATCTAAGAGTCCTAATTGGGGCCCAAATACTATAGGCTTGCTAACTCTATTCCTTTTAGGACTAGGGGTTGGGTTTAGAGGTGAGGGTCCACGGACTATGGTGGGCCTTTTCCTAATTAATTATTGTAATTTAATTCTTTCTTTGGATAATTGGTTAAATGATTAATTGATTTTAGGGGTCGTAACACGGGGTGTTACAACTTCAGTCACTCTTCACTCGGTCTCATCTAGCCGACACCTTCTATCACGGAATCGGACCTACTGGAGCTCTGTGAGGCTGGTTGACGCACTTGCACTGCTTCTCTAACCAACTGACTAACTCGTACTTCCTTCCTTCTCAATTGGTTGGATCATCTAACCTTCCACTCCTCAGCCTGAATGGTTCATCCACCCCTTCTATCTCTTAATCCGGATGATATCTTTATCTGCTCAACTCCTCTAACTAATTAGGTGAGCCACTCAGCCTTACCAGATAGATCGACTAACACTCTCATCTATTACCTTGATCCAAAAGCCTCATCTACTCATCTAGGTCTTTGAACATGCCTAGGTCGAATCCTCGAAGGTTATGCTAACTCCTTCTTTATTTACCTTTGATTCCCCATCTGACCTGATTGTTCGAGTCGTTGTGTTCCACCCATCGTACTTACCCGTTTTCCTTGTTCCGTCTGCTAGTATTATCCTTTCGTGCTTGGGCCCATATTCCATCATCTAGTCCCTCACTTTTTCTTACTTGGGCAGCTCGGTACAGGAAAGAATTGCTCTTCCCTTCCTGAATCTTAAGGTTCTTTTTCTGACTCTCTCCCTCCCGATACATACTTGTCAACAATATAACTATTCAAGTCGTCTTTTATCAACCTTAACACTGTTTGCCATTTTTCCCCACTCTTTTTACAAAGAGGCGGGCGGTTGATTGAGCGCTGACTCCTTTCGCAGACCAACCTTCCAACCTTTTGACATATTTTGCCCACTCCTTTTACAAGAAGGCGCGGTTGACTAAGCACCGACTCCTCTTACAAGCCTCCAACCAACCTTAACACCAATTGCCATCTTTTCCCGACTCCTTTTACAAGGAGGCGCGGTTGACTAAGCGCCAACTCCTTTTATAGGCCTCCAGCCAACCTTAACCACTTGGATCTTTTGCACACTCCTTTTACAAGGTGGCGAGCTTGACTGAACGTCGAATCCTTTTACAAGCCTCCAGCCAACCTCAACCCTAACTAGTATCTTTTCCGACTCCATTTACAAGGAGGCGCAGTTGACTGGGCGCTGACTCCTTTTACAGGCATCCAGCCATAGCCACTTGGATCTTTTTCACACTCCTTTTACAAAGATGCGAAGTTGACTGGGCACCGACTCCTTTTACAAGCCTCTAGCCAACCTCAACCCTAACTAACATCTTTTCCCGACTCCTTTTACAAGAAGGTGTAGTTGACTGAGCGCCGAGTCCTTTTACAGTCCTCTAGCCAACCTTCATCACACTTCTTCCTTCTGACCCCCTCACACAGTCGTCTAGCGAAACTCCAATCATCAAACTTTTCCGATCAGTTTCTTGACCTTTAAAATTTTCAAATCCCTTTGGCTTCTCGTGTACGCTTCACTTCACTGCAACCGTCGATTCCCCCATTCTCACCGTCCAATCTTCTACTATGTGTAGCCATCTCCTTGGCCTCCTCATCCTAAAAATACCCCCCTTTCACCCCTCATTTTTTACTTTCACTTTTCACTGTTTTCCGATGAAGAGCCCTCTCTAATCTCCATCCAAGTCTCCGGCGAGCTTCCGATCAGTCCTCGATCAGCTTTAGGTCTGTCTCCGATCATCTCCCGTGTCTCCTTCCTCCCATCTTCATCTTTTCTTCATCGTTTCATCTCCCTTCTCTTTTACGCTGGTTTCTCTTCCTTCTCCCTTTTTATTTCTATTTTCCTTTCAATGTCTTCTTCATCCTTCCAGTCTGGTGACTGCAAAGGCTGGTAACCGTGCCGTTTCATCTTCGCCAACACGTCTTGCTCCTTCATCCTGATGCAAATATTACAACAAAAGAACAATGTTTTTCTTCTATATTCTTGTGAATCTGTATATTCTTGAATCATTATATGTACTTCCTCACTTTTCTCCTTTGAACTCTTGGAAAATGAATGACAGCATAATTTGGGCAACAAGAAAAAAAAATGAGTCAGAGAGGAGAGAGGAGAGAGGAGCGAAATACCTTGCTATCGGCTTCTTCCGTAATGCCGCCACTGCTTCCGTCAGCAACCACCTCCGTCACTATTTCCTCTTTAACTAACCACCACCACCCCAACGGCTTCCTCTGTAACAGCCTCGGGCGTTGCGATGACATGCTATGGAAGCTAAGAAAAAAAATTGTAAGTGTTTGAATTTAGAATGCTAGTATATAAAAACATTATGTGTATATAATTCTTATTTTTTAAAAATAAAATAAAATAAATAAGCATATAAC